TGGACACTAAAAGTGGAAGACGTGAAAATGCTGGTTGTCTTTGATCAGAGATAGCTGGATTATATCTCCAGTGTTAGACGTTATGATAAGGTGAGTGATTTTGAGATCAGGTGTCGAGTGTTAGGTAAGGAGGACAACTTGGTCGACGAAGTTGTGAAGTTATATCAACTGAAATGATTAGGACGTTTCTTACGCATATCTAGCCATCGCCTTCCTTGATGAGCAGTGTTAGTTGGCGCATGACCAGGTTGAAGAATAGCTAGTGGTGGTCAAACTATAACGTGGAATCAGTTCAGAAAATTTTCAACAGTTGATCTGAACCAAGTAGGAAAATGTAGGCTGCCTGGTTAGGGTCTCCGGGATCCTGAGAATTAAAGACTGTAAACAATTGGTCATATGGCTCGAAATCGTTCTGAATAGAGAAGGTGCATTCACACTCTGTAATCCTCCGTATCCACTATACAGTCATATTTTCCATCTTTCTTCATCATATTTCCGGTTAATATAGTACTTCGAATCCCTTTTTACTGCCTATTTTGTCTACATGTGTGTAGTACACGAAATATAGCCACTCGAACTGCTACACTTCTGTGAAAAGTTCTGTGCTGATACCAGTCAATCAATATTATTCCGCAGTACTTCTGTCTTATATTGTATTACATTATTTTAAATAACGTTATATATATGTATATGTTCTTAACCAGTAGTTTACAAATGGGATATTAGAGTTATTATGACTTTTCATAAGAGTTACTAGAGTCTGAAAAGAACTAAACAAATATTCTGGTAATATTCATAAGAAGATGGCCGTTATTGAATCTGAGACCTAGTGCAAGAGAGTTTGATGTCTCTATGATCACATTACTAACTGGTGCATAATTTGGAATTCCGAGATCTGATTAGTTCCTCATGTAACGTGAATGTTACAGAATATCATTGGTGAGTAACAGTCTCCACACCCAACTTGGTAACTGCCTTCAAATAGGCATGAACCCGATTTACATAACAGATAAAGTCATCTAAGGTTGGAGATCTCGGTAGATTAGATTTCAAATTAATAATTCCCCAACCAGTTGAATTACGATACACAACTTCGAAAGTGATTCACAGTTTACTTTATTGGTGAAAATAAAGAAGTAAGTGGCATTTACCACATCTAGATGTTTATCTGCTGAATCTTTATTGGTTGTGTATTGTGCTATAAATTTATTTCAACCATTCCACTTATGAGAACGAAATAAGGTGCCAAGTAGTAAATGATATTTTTACCAGTTACTAGATAAAAACCACGACACATGAAGTTCTGCTGGTCACTTGTAACACTCTATACAAATGAGTCATCCATCGTCTTTACTTATCAATATTTCCCCAGTTCAACTTTCGTTTTGCCTTCCTTAATCATCATTCTTGAAATTTTCTCAACTCGTCTTATGTTCTACTTCTCCACTTTATTACAAACTATTGATTAATTTATTTCCTTATTTCTTTGTATCAAAATTGTTTGAAATGTAGGAATTTCACTATGGGAGATAACAGATGTTCAGTAGTAATGTTAACAAAGTTTTATTTTTCCACCTATTAACAGAAAAAAGTTTCTTCCCATCATTGCGTTTTCACCTGAAGAACCAAATGAATCCTATTGTTCAGCATAGTATAAAACTTGAGTTGGTCTTACAAGTGAATGAACAGGTGTAAGTTAAAAGTAAGCAGTTAACTAACTAACTAACTAACTAACTAACTAACTAACTAACTAACTAACTAACTAACTAACTAACTAACTAACTAACTAACTAACTAACTAACTAACTAACTAACTAACTAACTAACTAACTAACTAACTAACTAACTAACTAACTAACTAACTAACTAACTAACTAACTAACTAACTAACTAACTAACTAACTAACTAACTAACTAACTAACTAACTAACTAACTAACTAACTAACTAACTAACTAACTAACTAACTAACTAACTAACTAACTAACTAACTAACTAACTAACTAACTAACTAACTAACTAACTAACTAACTAACTAACTAACTAACTAACTAACTAACTAACTAACTAACTAACTAACTAACTAACTAACTAACTAACTAACTAACTAACTAACTAACTAACTAACTAACTAACTAACTAACTAACTAACTAACTAACTAACTAACTAACTAACTAACTAACTAACTAACTAACTAACTAACTAACTAACTAACTAACTAACTAACTAACTAACTAACTAACTAACTAACTAACTAACTAAATAACTAACTAACTAACTAACTAACTAACTAACTAACTAACTAACTAACTAACTAACTAACTAACTGACTAACTAACTAACTAACTAACTAACTAACTAACTAACTAACTAACTAACTAACTAACTAACTAACTAACTAACTAACTAACTAACTAACTAACTAACTAACTAACTAACTAACTAACTAACTAACTAACTAACTAACTAACTAACTAACTAACTAACTAACTAACTAACTAACTAACTAACTAACTAACTAACTAACTAACTAAATAACTAACTAACTAACTAACTAACTAACTAACTAACTAACTAACTAACTAACTAACTAACTAACTAACTAACTAACTAACTAACTAACTAACTAACTAACTAACTAACTAACTAACTAACTAACTAACTAACTAACTAACTAACTAACTAACTAACTAACTAACTAACTAACTAACTAACTAACTAACTAACTAACTAACTAACTAACTAACTAACTAACTAACCTACTAATTCATTCTCCGTGACCAAGAACAAGCGACTGTCTTGTTTATATACCGTTAATGATTTCACTTACTCAGTTTTATGGCTCATCCTAATCTAGTCAGTGAGCAGTATTGATTACTTGTGTGTTTTTGTTAATGGAGGTAGTTTTAACTGCATAGTTCAGTTACACAATGCTATATCACTGACACTGTGAACTTTGGTACTTGTATTCATTTATTCTGTTTGCACAGTAAGTCTGCAATAAGAAACGTGAAGCTTCATTTCACGGCATAAATTCATTCTTAGAGATTTGGCATGCTGAAAAAGTGCTATCAACATGCTTCATCCATTCCATTATATTTACCGTAAAAAATTTCCACTACGTCATATATACACAACCGGATCAGTAGTAATTCAGAATACAAATTTCTTCATTCAAAAATACTGCAAATACTAGATGCTCTATCGTAATTGAACTAGTATCCTTTTATTCATAGTTTCCTTTCAATTAAAATTTTTATTTTCATAGTTAAAAAGTGAAGCATACTTAATAACTTTCAACCTATTCAGTTTATATATATATATAATAAATATTTTGTTTCAATGCGTCATAAAGGTTTTCATTGAAGTTGTCAGGCAAAATACTTTCAAAGAGGGCATGATTCAACTCAAAGACTTCTAAATTACGACTGGGAAATTTCAATGGGTAAGTCGAGTCAACTAGGTGTTTAACTATGGTTTTTAATGTCTTCACTATTAGAAGATATTCACAGTGAAATGTGGTTACAAGATGGATAATAACTTAGCGGTGATTTCGTGAGAATGGAATTGCCTCCTTAGATATCCTTCTTACAAGAAAATCAAGTGGTAGTATAAAGAGAAATTCACTTAGGAAAAGCATATGGACAGGACAATATACACATTTTCATAGCTTTGTTCGTCTCCAGTACAAAATGAATTGAATAAAGATACTCAGCTACAGAGTCAGAGCTGTATGTTCAAAAGATGTAATTGAAGATGAACTTAGCATTGTATATGATACCTTGATTGAAAATAGCTATCCAAATAAATTCATCAGGAAAAATATGAGTGAGAAAGTTGAAAAGGACTATTTGCTATCCGTAAACAAGAAGCCTCTTTATATAAAACTGCAATTCAAGGGCGATATGTATAGCGAAGTAATAAAGAAGAAGTTAAGAAATCCATTGCGAAGAACTTTTAATGCTAGCAAACTACAATTCTTATTTTCTACACAACTAGTTGTGATTCCTCAATTCAGAGATGAAGTGCCTAGCCTAGCCACCTCTAATTGTGTCGACAGATTCAACTGCGCTTGTCGACCAAGTTATATTGACCATTGCCCTAGGAACTTGATTTCTGGTGCCCGAGAACATCTCCCAGTATGGCTAAGTAAAGAAGTAGTAAAAACTATCAACAGTTCGATATTAAACCGTCTGGTCCGAACTGTCCACAAAGCCAATATTGAAGAATTCTTCTCTATCATCTACCATGTACCAAATAAATTGCCAAAAACATCGAGGTACCGCATTTTCCAAACATCAGAGGTTATTGCGATTTGCGTGAAACAACCGGTGCTCTATTTATTTATTTATTTTTGATAACAGCTTGATTCCACACTGTATTTTTGGTACAAGTATGGAATTTTCAGCAGGTCCTACTACTACTATTGCCCTGGCCTTCAGTGGAGACTATAAGTCCATGAATTCTGTATTATTACTTTTCCTGATTTGTCTGATATTCAGTGTAGAGTTATGTTAATGTATATTATCATACTAATAGATGCTATTGAACTGTAATCTATTGTTATTATTGAATCGATGTTATTTAAACAACACTAATGTTGTTAATAACTGTAAGTCTTTCATTATTATGGGTATATAACTGTAGAACTTGAAGAAGAGCAGGTTATCGAAAAGAATATTCATTGTTCAGTAATGAGTCTTTTGAATTAATCTTTTCTCTGTTTTCGACTGGCTTGCTGAGACACAGCCTTGATTTCATCCCTAAGTAGCACCAAACGAAATTCACTGTCAATGCGTTCGTACCAGGAGCCAACAAGTCAACAGAAACTGAGTGTACTTAAATCCAGTAAAATCAGTCTTCAACCACCACTACAACGAAGAATACGTGTCAGTTTCAGTGTAAAATCAGACTTTAATACAACCAAAAGAATAGAAATTAAAATAATGATGATATGATTTCAATTGTTAGAAAATAGCAAATGGACGCAGAACACTTACTTGCATTGTTTTGTCATACCACCGATTAGCTGCATTGAATTGGCTTCCCATTCCGTGTAACAGTTGTAATGCCAAAGAAATGTCATCTCGTTTATTTATATTATTTGCATCATTTGATTCAGTTAAATGTCCATTAATCTCTGTCGTTTCATCGAGTTCTTCAACTGGAATTATTGGTTTATCTAGACATAATACAAACATGCTTTTCGCTATTGTTTTCAAGTTCTCTTTGTTCTCAGGATCTGGTAGGAAAATGTTTATAGAAAACAGCAGAGTATGAGAAGATGGAAAATGTACTTTAATCAGCCTGTTAATAAGCTTTTAAGTGCTTTTTTTAATGGGGATTTTTGTCGTTTTAGATGTATTAAACTACTCATTTGCCTGATACGATACAGATATGTAGTAGGAGGTTTGTAATTTGTGAAGCCTGCATAGTTCAGCAACAGTCACATTTATAGTCTGTTTGACCTGAATGTCTAAATCTTAGTAGGCCGATCTGGTTTAATGCCAATTTTGTAGAAAACATGAATACCAGCTCCAATGGGAAGAAAAATAATCGGTTTTTCCAATCATTACTGAAGTCTATATGCAACGTGTAGCTAAATCCAGAGGCAGGTTTCATGAAAATGCGTAGTAATGATTGGTTGAGATGAACAGTTCTAGACCACTCATATTATCCAGTAGTTCTCGACAAACAGGTGTAGGTTTCTAAACACGGGACGACAGTTTCACTTATTTGGGGCTAAGCTGATCAGCGGTGTACCCAGTTTAATTCAGCTCAGAGAGCCGAATCAGGGTAAACCATCCGGTTTATAGATAGCTACTTGATCAAACTAGTGATGTCATAGATGAAATTCACAATTTGCAAATTAGTTCGCAGTCTGCAATGTACACAGTTTGAGTTCCATGTCTTAATGGTGACAACTTTACTGTGGAACATACTTCCGCATGCAGTACGAAGTCCTCAGTGTGTTTTATTTATCACATAGTACTTATTCATGGTACAAACCTTTAAGCGTGATAATAGCCTGCAGATGTCATTTTACCAGGTCTTGTTCATTCTGAAATATAATGCAATATCCAGTCATGCTTTTCATCGTACTGTTCAAAAAATACTCGTTAAAAGTTGGCAAAAACCCATATGAGTACAAAAATCTATTTAAGGAAGTAAGTGCATTTCTGCAAGAAAGTGATATAGATTGGAGCTGTATGAGGGATAGTGATGTATTTAGCGGCGAAATTTATTAATTTAGCATAACACAGCAGTCCAAGAAATAATTTTGTTTGAAAAAGCTAGACTGTATATATTTCGCGTATTTCCATATTAATTAACCCAGCTTTCAGTGGAATTCACGCCTTCATAAAAAGTACTGTAATGTCGATAAGTACAACTGATTAATCTGAAAATACAGGGCACCAATTCGATTGGATTCTGTATTCTAGTTGATCTGAGCCACATAAGGAGGTTGGGACCACCTGACGCTAGAAATTAATCGTTGGAGACTGCTGATGATATGTTGTAAAATCATCCTCATTGGCAAAGTTGCATTCAGTACTGCTTATTATCTTCCACACTCTGGAAATCCACATTATTCCTCCCTCTAAACGTCTTGGTTTCTCTTAATTTCCTTACACTTCCTCCATCTACCTTGTGGTGTGTTGCCTTGTGAGTAATAACAACTTGAAATTCTGTATTTCTGTGTGAAAATCACAGAATTCATTTCATGAGCCAAGTTATTTCCCCGACCTTGTCACCATTTTATCCCATAAATTCTTCAAAGTTTCAGTGTTTCTTTATAGAATTCGACGTTTTATCAGATATGCATGTAAATTAAGAACTAGAAATTATAATCTCTATTTACATATTCACAGTTAATCAAAATAAAACAATTTTAGAAACACAGATTTTTTTTCAGTTTTCCTTTCATTTAAACAAAGTAAACAAGATAAATTAAAAACAGATAAATATGCATTACCTTTACAAAGATGTTCATACACTTCTGCCCATTTATTTCTTGGTAAAGCAGTTAATGCACCAACTCTCGGTTGCGCTTCCATATCACTTTCACCAGCTATAGCTTCTTCAGCGAATTGTGTAACACGACGCAGCTGATTGTATATATCTTCTTCACTTAAACGATTACCATTGGAGATGACATCAATGACGAATAACTTGAAAAACAAATTATTCGAAAAAAAGTATTTATATAACCTGTAAAATATGTAAATCAAACATTAAAAATTATTATTTAAAAAAAGAATGAAGTCAAGTTTGATTACTGCAAGATCACACGGTCGAAGTGGGTAACTTTCTTTCAATCTCTCTCTCTCTCTCTCCTTCTTTGTCTTCCAACTATTTCCATGATCACCTTACAAGTGCATTAATCTACCGAGAGAAAGCTATCTAAGACAGCCAGAGCATTTATCTTATTTTTTGCAGTCTTTGTGTTCTGAATGGATGATAGGGCTTTTGGCTTTCGAAATTTCACCAGCACTGGTAAGGTTTTTGCAGAGTGGAGCTCCTGGCTTTAAGCTATGAAAGAACTTTATGCAGCATAATTTAAAAATTTAGTAAGGAGTGAATCAAATGTTGTTAAGAACGCCACATATTGTGAATTGATTGTTTTGGGTTTCAAAATAAAACTGCGTCAGTCTAGAGGCTATTTTATGCACTATTGAGAGAAAACATTTATCTTTTAGAAACTGAAATGTGCTACATAAACATATAGAAGAATTTCATAAACAGTAGGGATGAATAGGAAATGATACTTTTAAGTATTGGTTATGTAGGGTTTTTTGTTTGATTGGTTGGAGGATTTCATCATGAGCTGACATCAGTTGAAGAATCATTGGAAAGCCTGGGAGTACCGGGCACCCGTTTCGTTCTAGTTAGGAACTCTTCATCAGTAGGCAGTTTAACGGTCTACGAGCTCGCCTTGTAACCAGACGATATTAAATTCGAACCCTAGCGGGTACACACTGATGAAGGGTACCAAACTAGGAAGAAACGGCTGTCCATTACTCTCAAGTTATTGGTATGTTACAGAAGTGGAGAGGTAGATAAGCAGACATAGTTGGATACCAACGTTCTCCTCGTTACTGCTACGATGGACAAAAACAACCAAAGGACAAAACACTTTTGAATGCAATCACTTTACTCCAATATATTATTGCAGCAAGGACTGATGTGAATTTGAATTCCCGAGAGGGCTTCAATTCCTTCAAGGTTGCAGATATACTCTGCTGACAAATGTCAATAGGTAAAACACCAGCTAAAAGTCCAGGATATGTGTTCCCTCCTATTTGCTGCTGACCAGCTGCGTGTATACACATTGCAAGTGGTTGGAGATGTTCCCACCGGGACTCAAACCTAGAAGCAATTGTGTCGAATGCTGTAGCGTTATCCACAAACCAAATGAGACCCACAAACTGCCTCTCATGCAATGGATACCATTCCAGATCATTATAATCAACCAGAGGGAAATTCGAAATCATTTAAATAAATATTTGCCGTTTCTTTGAAAACAGAAGTTTCAGTTTAAAAAAAAAATTTGAATGAGAGTTTGAATTCTGCTTATTCTATTCACCAAGTTTTAAATGATTTCAGTGGTTATTTTTAATGATAAGTATTTATGTTTAGGAGGTATAATATCCTAACAAAATAAAAATAAACGAGTTCAGATACTTTTTATTTAAATCTAATTTTACAGTGGTATTATGAACTGCCTAACATTAAACTTATTATCTCATCAACATCATCTCACAGCCTTCTCATCAACATAAACTGTCTACTGGGTATTATAAAATCTACTTGAGAGTATGGTGACCCATATTGCTCCCAGGGGAAGAAAAATGATTCAATAGGCGAAATGAATAATAATAATAATCAAAATTTTCTTTAGAGTGAAATCGATAATGACGTTATGGTTATCAAGTGCATACATGTGTGTGTGTGTGTGGAGGTGGGTGGGTATGTGCTTGTATTAATATGTGTGCTTGATATTTGCCAGTAGGAGAGAAATATGATACTTTCTAGAGATTATTTATTTATTTTTTTAATTTTTGATTATAGCTTGATTCCACACTGTATTTTTGATACAAGTATGGAATTTTCAGCATGTGATATTGGTAGCCCAAATTTCGCAGGCCGACCATAGATATCAGGTGTGCTTCGGCGAGGGCTCGAACCCCGGACCATGTGCATGGTCGGCAAGAGTCCTAACCACTGTGCCACCGTCGCACAAAATTTACAAGAAACAATAGAGTTCTGCTGGTACTAACTATCAAAAAAGGAAGTTAATTGGATTCTGGAACAAGTCAATAGGATATTAGTCAAAGTCCAAAAATCTGATTGACGACATCTCTGAAGTTGTTTATGTGAATTTTCAATCCCTGAAGAAATAATAATCTCTCTTCAAGATTACGAATCCTGTTATCTATTCCTAGCAGTTAGGCAACTTGGTTTTAAAGCTTCAGTATACTTTCATCAAACTATTCATTGTGTGAATGTTACAGCAATGACAAATTGTGAGATAAATATGTATTTATATTGACAGCCAAAATGTTTTATGGAAGAACTATGATGCTATCATGAGTGTTCACTAAAAGACACTACAATTCGTATCTGAGATGGCTCCAGGATACTGGAATTACTACTAAAATCACTGAATGGTAGACAGTTATTCAAACCACTGAGGAGTAGCTGTCACCAAAATCGAAGTGATCATTTTTCTTGTTAGCAGTCAACCATCCTTTGGTGAGTCAAATTGGTTTCACTAAGATTGAAACTGTTCTCGATTTGCCTAATCAATGATCCGAAATACCAATACATGAAACTGAAATAAGTTGTCGGAACAAAAGAATCACATCAAACCTAAATGTTAATTGTTTTACCGTTTCTCTAACCTCATAGCATCACTGGAACCATAATTCGTGGATAACGGAGCAAATAACTCATTGATCTCTCTTTCTAAACTTGCCTTGTTGACCTCAACCTGACAGATATCTGATCTAAATGGTGCTAAGAATGACACATATTGTGAATTGATTGTTTTGGGTTTCCAAATAAAACTGCGTCAATCTAGAGGTTATTTTACGCACTACTGTGAAAAAAACACATCTATCCCGAAAGTAAACTAATCTTTTGGAAACTATAATGTGCTACTTACTAGGCTACATAAACATTTCGAAGAGTTTCATATGAAGAAACAACAAGATTAAACTTATTAACACTTACTTGATCTAAACATATTACAATTATATGCTCAGGATCAAATGGATCACGTTCAGATGAGGTTACAAGCGTATCTTTTGTATGCCCGGATAACGATATGAACTAAACAACCGATAGTATTGTTCCATGCATAATGGTTGACCCTTTTTACTATGTCGAGCTCGGTCTGTTGGAAGGGAGCGCCTGTAAATAAATAAAGGTATAATTTATTAGTAATAATAGACTTCATTTACCAACAAAAAGCATTGCTTATTTTCGTTATGAGGTTACTTCATTTAAAGAACATATTCCCAAAAACCTGTGCCTGAAAGGAAGCAGATATTCCCAGAGTGCAATTACCAGACACATTATTGATACCGGACATCTCGTAGAGATTTCTAAGTCCTTCAAAATATTAAATAGACAAAGGACAGCAAATTTACTACGATTTGCCGAAGCAATCGCAATCAAAAGACTTAAACCAGACTTATGCATACAGAAAGAGAGTGTGATTAACCTCTCACTCCCTTGGTAACAGAATTTTGATTTTGATTAGTCACCTAATTCAGTGATCTCAACTCACTGAACAAATCTTAATCTCATAAACTGTAACCGCCTTTGTTTTTTGGCGTTGTTGTGTTAACCTACAAGCTAACACTGTTCTGTTAATCAATTTTTCTGTTTTCTCTCTTACCCCTCCCCCTCTTTTTAACTTTAAAAGCGTATAAAGTGATGATGAAAACTTAAACTAAAAACATTGTAATGCTTTCATTTAGATGCGTCAATTTTATAGTATCTCTTTTCTACCACCACTCGAACATTAAAGTATGTTATTATCATCTATATAACCATTGTAATTTCAGGTAGTCTGCAGTTGATGAGAACCTGTGAATTAGAATGATATCATTTTATACTGCAAATTTCGTCTTCCTTTCTTTATCAAAAAAAGAATGATGTCATATAGAAAAATAATTACAGATGCCACATATAGTGTTTAAATGAGTTACAGAAATATTCTGAATTCAGAAAACCAGTCCTAACAAAAAGATAATATGGATGACATGCTTTTATTTATTGAATTATTATACATCTGTTGATTAGCTTTCAACTTTGCTTCAATCACCTACATTTTTGGTCAGGATCATAGGAATCAGTAAATTGTGACTGCCTATTCAGTATGATCATTCTAGCTACCTAACCAAGTCTTTTCACTGTGTTATTTTAATATTACTCAATTGAAGAGGAGAGAAGCTACCAACTCATTGTTATTTGAACCTTATTCACAATATTCTGAAGTGGCACTGGAGATGCTTTTCATTGGCTAAAATAATCGACTTTCAGCCAGTGTGTTATGGATTCAAATCTGACTTCATCTAATTTAGGTCGGAAAGTTGAGTGGAATCTTAAGCTCATACACGAAAAATATGGCTCATAGTCCTCTACCAAGTAACCAATGTAATGGTTAAGCTTAGTCGTTTGTGAAATTCATGTCATCAATGGGATTTGAGTGGAAGAAGAGAGTAGGATTCTAATATTTTGTAGTGTTTGTGTAAGGCGTATTGCTTTTCATTGAAAAAATTCAGTCCGAATAGGTAAAAAAAACTGACTCAGATGAAAATAAGTTGAAGAAAAAATTGAATAAAAGCTGACTTAAAGTTAGATTTTTAAAAAATATCTTCGGTGGAATTCAATAATGAAAAGAAAAAGACCAACAGATAGTGGTAAGATTATTTTGCTAGTTTTTTTGTGTGTTTTTTTTTGAGTGAAAGAAGTGGGGGAAAGAACTGGTGGCAAACACGAAATGTAATTTGATATTTGTTCAAAGTTATATATATATATATAATCTAGGAGGGAATGGGAAAGAAATCTTGGAATAAGGATAGAAATTAGATGAACTTTTGAGGTGGAAGCAGGTCAACAATGTTGAATTTCTGCCTTTCTGCTTCTTCGTGTTTTTCTTCTCTTTCTTCTCCTGACTCATTCAAGCACACACTGATACTTGACCGTGATATTCGTACACAAGCAAAAGGAGTATATAGGAACAAAGTACATATATATATACATGCGTACACACATACGCTTCGTGTTCCCTGTCACAATGTGATTGCATTCCTATGATATATGATATGTGAGTGAATATTTAACCAAAGAAATATTATTTAGTTATAGTTGTCTGCAAAAGTAATATTTTTTCTTTCTTCTCTTCCATATATGATAAAGTTATCTTTTCTACTTTGTTTTTCTGCTTAGTAGTATCACGCAGTTTAATTTCTCAGAAAGTTTAGTTAACACTTCAACAGTTGTAGTAATCAAAGCAGCAGAGAAGTTAGTAGTAGTGGTATTAGTAGTGTGAATAGTTGAGTGGCAAGAAGGGAATAAGGCAAAAACGAAATGAGAAATTGGAAAGTTGCTTATTTCTCGGATTTCGACGAAAAAACAAACAAACAAATTGAATTCAGTATGCTTTTATTTATATTTGTCTCACTGCTATCCCAATTTTTCTCTGGTGACTTTCAGATTTCACACGTTCTCCGTCTGCTTTTGTGGCTTTTTTACATCCTTTTTTTATTTGTTCGACACAAACAAACATCATAAAAAGTGGCACGGAAGAGAGAAACCAATTTCAGTTTGAAAAACATAATTTTTACTATATTTTTTAAAGCCTAATATTGATAAATGAGACGACAGGTATATTTACTTCAAGTCTGAAAATATCATCTTTGCATCCGTAGCATTAAAAAAGGGGTCAAAAGATATGATGTGCAGTCGTTCATATCGCTTCACATCAAATTAGCTGAGAAAGTGTAAAATTCTAAGACAGCGTGGACAGAGAGAACGCTAGAGTATTTCCAGAGGCTTGGTACTCAAACCAGTTTGGAATTAATAGACATCGTGTGGTAATGATCAAACTTATGAATCAATAAAATATGGGAACATAACTTTAAGGTCAAATATCGGGTCAACCATAGGGTCAGTATCCATCTAAGCAAGTGCAGTAATAAGGAACAATTTGAGAAGAACAAACCACAGTGAAGGTCACCAAGAAAGACACACGTGTCATTCATGTAGCATCCTTAGGGATCACTCCGACTGAATTTAGAGCTGAAGTGGTTGTCCATAAGGGCAGTGGGCGCTTCTAAATCAAACCATCCAGCTCAGAGAATTCCTTAATGCCGAAAACAAACACCTCAGCTATAAAACTTCTTCCATCCTCTATTCTCATTCATTCTTTTGATGAGCTGATCAGAATTTTGTAATTTTAGAAAATCAAAGTGCTTTCTTTGTCAGAGACAGGATTTATTCCTCATACCATAGGTTTATAAAATCCATAACTGTGTTTCTTTAAAGTGAGAAAGCAGAAAAAAGACACTGACTAATTATACTTTATTGGTTTTATTATTTTGAAAAAATGGAACCGTCTGAGAGTTTTGCTCTTTTTCAAAAAACAGGAATTTTAATAACTCTAATTGAAGTAAATCACGCAGAAAGATTAAGTGTATTTGGTTTGGAAATAAAGTCGTGTATTCCTGGGATTACTAATAAGCCAAACAGAATCGAGGGAAGGGTGAAAGAAAAAATTCATATTTTACTTAGTTCCGCATTAATGCTCACATTCTTCAAATGATACTACCATTACAGAGTTGGATAATGCTGCCAAACTTCTTCAACGGAAATTTATGCTATAGACTACTGAAAAAGTAGTCTGGAATTTGTTCGAGTGAAATATGCCGATTGTTAACCTTTGTCAATTATATATAACCATGGTTTAGTTTCAAAGGTACTGGTAATCTGTAAGCTACAGGCCTCCTTAGTCAGTGATGTGTTGAACGTGCAATGAATCTATATCCCTGATTAACTAATAAAAAAAAACAACCTTGCGAATTCGCCTGAAATCATTCCGTATATTTGTCACATTCTTTCTGGTATCACTTAGGTACACAACACAAATCGGAGACTGAATGATCAAGATAAAAGTTCATGATTCCATAGAAGTAATTTGCAATGGTAGTGTTTGGTACTGGTCACTGAGAGTCAGTCGACTGCCAAACCTGCTAATCACTGTAATCGTGACTGTTGACAGTAGGTTTTCTGCTTCTATCAGCTTAATGAGGTTTAGGAGTACTTCAGGCAAGGAACAGAACCCTGAACCATGTGTGTGTTTGTCAAGCAAGCTACCACTGAACCACTGATGCATCCCAATAACTTGACTAACACTAAAAAATAAAACTGTTGATGCATAGATGATATCGTCTTTGATAACGTCGAACATTAGTGCACTGAAATTCAATTACTTCAAGATTCAAAAATCCACTTCTAAATATTTTGATCATCAATGTTATCATGTACAACTAGTCAATCTACTTTGCATGTTTTTAATTAGTAGACATTTTTCTGAATCAGGAAATATACTTCTAACCTTCCACTAGGGATATTACTGCGTTCTGTAGATGATAAGTATTGTGGTGATTGAAAGAGTCCTGCCTATCTTGTCTAACGATAATATCAGTCAGAAAGCGGTAGAATAAGAAAAAGGATAGCAGAAAAGGTAAACGCATTGTATGTAATACTTTATCAAAACTTCATGAAAAAAAATATTTCAGTATCTTCCACAGAAAAAGTTAACACAATTTAGAAAAAAACTTAATCCAAGCTGAATAATGCACGTTTCCTTCAATTTTATTATATTTTCATTACTAGTCCCATATCCATTGTCGATTAGTACATAAACTCACGTGTCTAGTATTGTTTTGTAATCTAAAATTCCAGAGATAAGTTGAGCAGCAAATCTAAATTTGAAAAGAAACGAAAATACATAAGTGATGAAATTAACCATGAAACAATGGTACAATAAAATATGTTCATTTCAATAGTCTGAATTATAACTGTCAGGGATACAAATGTCTGAAGATAGTCTTTATTCTACTCATAACTGTTATTATTTATTCAGATGAAATATATGACAGTTTTAGAGACAAATGTCACGAAAATTGTTTTACTTTGAAGAGACAACATTAAATCGTACAACTTGAGATACTAAGCCAACTACCAGCAGAGAGACGACATAGTCTAAAGGATGTATGTGAACAACCAGTGTACCGTAGTTCATCGATGTGCGATATGACAAATAAATAATCTAACGTGAAATCATTAGTATTACTACTGTTCCCTTGGGTTCCTAGTAAAACATAGGGCTTCAACTGCACGTCTCCACTTGCTCCTGTCTTCTCCTGTACTTTTCACCTGCATCCACGTTAGTCCATACTGTTTCAACTCCTCTTCACCCGATCTCCTCCATGTCAGCCTTGCACTGACGTCTCGCTCACCACTCCCCTTTCGGGTTCCACTCGAGCAATGGCCTGATGCGCTCGCGATTTCACCAACCGGCCTTCTCAGCCAGTGTCCAATCCATCTCCACTTTTTCCTGCATATTTGTTGGACGATTGATTGGTTCTTGTTTTGTTTGTTCCGATAGTTTCTTGTTAGTGATTCTTTCCGGCCCGCCCGGCCATCTGATCTTCAGTATAGAGCCAGCGAAGACAGTTGTTGATAAAGGTTTGTTGGGAAGGCTGTTGGAAATATTCTTTGTGACCCACCCGTCAAGTAACAAATTCTGATCCGTACAGAAGAACTGACTGACTTGACGTTTGTATTGAAAATCCGACGGAATTTTGTTGTTGATGCTGGCTGAGTGACGAAGATTTCCAGATTGGTTGTTTCAGGTTGATGAGTGGATGTGTTTCTCGCCTTCCCGATTCTCTCTCGATTTGACATCCTCGTCCGTTCCTCCTGCCTGTAGTTGAGACAATGCTCCTTAGATAATTGAATGAAATAACCTCTTTCAAATCCCTCCCGTGAAATCATACTTGGCTACAATCTGCTGCAACAGTTAATGGATAAGAATGAAGTACTGCCTTAACACTCATTACTGACAAGACAACACTTCAGTTGGAGGCATTATCGACGTCTACTTGAAGTAAATAACTACAATATTATAGTCCAAATACTTCATAGCGCATATCCAGCCAGTGCTTACATAGATCAAGTAAGTCACTGTGCTTCAATGGAAATAATATACTGTGGCTACCTTTTCGTTTGATTTCTTTTTAACGAACTTAGTATTCCTTGTTTGCTTTACCACTGTTGACTGCAACGAAACTAAGTGAATCATTTATGTTTATCTTGAAAAAGTGGGAAAAGAAAAACATGCGTGAATAAATCAATAAAAGTTTCCTAGTCAAGAATTAATTCATCCCATAATTTAGCAATAATGAAACGATAACAAAGTTGTATGCTTGAAACAATCTCAAATGAGGAAAATATGACGAGTAGAGAAATCCTTAGCTAGGAGGATAATTAGGCAGACGGATAGGTCGGTAGATCAATAATAGACAAGTTGTTGAGATAAACAAATACTTAAAGAAGTCGAAGAGCAAGTACAACAAGAAGATAAGATGTAAGGAAAGAGGGAAAGGGGTAATTAAAGTTGTTGCAAGAGAGAGGTAATTTTTTTACGCTTCATTTTCATTATCGTCATCATCATCATCAACAACAACAGCAACACAGAAAAGAGAAAAAACAACTTCAGAAAAAAAGAAGAAGCATTTTCTAAAGCACAATTCTACTTAAATTCCCTCTTCTTTTTCTTCTTCATTATTATTGTTGTCGTTGTTCTCATCATTATATTACTGAAGACTTTATTCAGTTCAATAAAAACCTAATTGAGCTAAGGTGAATTTCCAAATTAGATTAGGAATTGCTGTAAATATCTTCAGGATTGCCTCTTCTTCTACTTTCCTCACCCTCATCCTTCCTCTATCCACGTTTTCATTTCTTTTTCCACTGCTTGTTTAGCTAATGAATAGCCAAATCATAAAAAGAAGTGAAGAAGAATAAAAAAGAAGAAGGAGGTAGAGGTGAAAATAGTTGTTGATAGAAGTTAAGTTCTCCCAATAGTGAATAGTTTGTATTACTTTGTACTAAATGAACTACCCTAAGGGCAATTACATTATACATATATACACATACACGAATACACATATGTATTAGAAAGCATACAGAGTCACATGAATGTATAAACATTAACACGCACGCACACACAAACATTTAAATAACACACACCCAACAGCAGACATGGCTTAGTCTAATTTCTTTTTTTTATTGAAGATGATGATTAGCCGGAAAAAGAGATGTACAAAAAATTGAATATAAACACGTATATACTATTGATATTTTTTGTTTAATGAAATAAATTTTATTTTCCTTTTCATTAAACATACTGGATAGATTTTCAAAAGGTAAAGAATACTGATCAGTGCTTAGAAGTAACATGGTCAACATGATCTTGTATTTGCCCTAGTATTATTGAATCAAAGGTCTACTGGTATTACTTGTGTCATCACAGTGGCTGTAATACTTTTCCTGATGAAATTTTGTCTTCATAGTGTGTAACCATTAAGTTGAGTAAATGTTTTAAAGATGAAAATCATTGTTTGACTGTATATGACTACTGAACTAATGTAGACTGGCATACACCATGGTTTACAAGAGTTAGTTTATTAGGATTTGATTTGTTCTAAATTCCATCATGAACTGATTATCTCTACTGACTGGTTGAAGGACGAGGCTGCCAACACCAGTGGATTTCATTAGGTCGAATGTGAGGAAATTGACTGGTGGTCGTGATAAAGTCGCGAATTGACAGAAGTTGGAATTCATGCGTCATTGAATCCCAGCTAAAGTGGCTGCATGGTCAACGAGCTCAGCCTCGTAACATGATGGTCTCGAGTTCGATCTCTGGTAAAGTCATGGGTAATTAATGATGAAGAGTTCCAAACAAGGGTGAAACAGTCAGCCCAACACCCCCTCATTTTTAGTGATTCGCTAACTGACATCAAACCTCGATCAAACTTGAAATAAACCATAGTTTTTACACAGAAGTAATGACCTAATCATCAGTTGTGTCTCGTAGATCAGTAAGTAGGGAGTAGGACGAATAATTCAGACGCCCCTGGTTTGAATCCTGTCGCAATCCATTTCCTTTTACCTTTAATCATTGCCCATTACATATATATATATATATATATATATATATATGTATATATATATATATTGATCATTCGCCTCTAAATTTTATGGACAGTGTAGTAATAACATACGTTAGTGTGTTCATGTTGATAGTTTTTGTAATCACTGCTGTATATTAAGTTCGCCTTACTTTCCTATTTAATTTCTGTTCAGATTTGTGAAATATATTTGTAAACACTTTGATTTATAGATTCATATACCAATGAAAAGTATATGAAGCAATCGTTTAGTGACTCAGACAGTATCACTAATTCATTTCCATTATTATCCAGGATAAATGAATTTATATAAATTGACCCGTTAATGATGAATAATTCAGTTACCTATTAGTTGGTATGTGTAGTGTAGATGACAGAAGTGAATCTTTAGTAAAACGCAGAAATTAGTCTCGTTCTGAATGACACCAATTTATATTACTAGACAAAATCTTGTGAAAGTGGCACCTTTTCCTTATCTAGACAACACCGTCTCGATTGCAGATAGTACAGATGACGAAGACAAAGCAATATACGATCAGAAAAGCAAGACAGACGTTCATTCAGCCACAAACCAGTGTACAAGTCTGACTCACTCAACATATTGAACGAAATTCCGATTTTCAACATTATTGCCAAGTCAGCGTCTGCTTCTATATGCTCCGGTGAATTGACGCGACACCTACTAAAACCATCTCAAACAGGAGACTGAGGACTCCCAACAACTACTGTCATCACTCCATGCTAAACATCAGATGAACAGAGAGAATAGTCTACGAGGAAGTTCACCAACCTACCAGTTAACCAATCAACCAACCGACTGACTAACCAGAAACCTAATCACCAACAAATATCTCGAGAAAACGAAGCTGGAATAGACATACACTGAGGAGACCGTTGAGTGACATCATGCGCCAGACAAACATATGGGTGGAAGCCGAATGGGTGGCGACGAGAAGGGTGTTGGTCTGGAGGTGACATGGGTAAGATCATGTGAGAATGACATGAACGCTTATAGGCAGCTTTGGAGCAAGGTTAAAAAGGACTGCAGGAAACAAAGTGGTTGGAAATCTGATGTTGAAACAATTTGTGTGAAACACATCGGAGCTCAGGGGAGTAATAATTATTAATGGTGTTAAACCTTATGGAGTCTCTATAACTATAAGAATAACGTTATTTACCTGAGTAAGTCTCAGCTGCTTCAGTGATTGTGATATAAGTCACAAAGGACGCCGAATGGGATTTATTGGTGTGCATGAATTACCACCCACTTTAGTTGCTATATTTTGATAAACTAGTTGTTATCAAAATTAATCGTCAGCTGGCAAAACGATGCACTGCTCCACACAACAGTATCCATGCTCTAAGCTTACATACCGTTCTGTCCACATTACTGATACTTTTCATATGAACTAACATATCTTATAATTAGGGTGAGATACACTTTTATAGCAGCAAAATAACTCGATGACATGATTAGCAGATATCTATATTAATTTCAGTATAAATAATTTTTGGCATTTACGGCTACACATTAAAATTCAGATACTATCGGATAATTTGGTGTTATCATTTGTAAATTTAGTTCAAATATTTTATTATTACATTAGTTAGGATCGTGACACAAAACACAAATTTCCGACGACTGATTTTTATAAATTAACTAGAATTTTCAAGATTTACTTGACTAACAACCTTGTTGATGAAATCGGTGTTTTTTTGTTTTCTATCTTCATACAAGAGAACTATTGTTTACGGAAACATTTCAACGCCCTAGATGATGCAATGCACTAATCACTTAAATAATAATTCACTGGGAACGTCCATTTTTGTTGTTGTTGTTGTTTTAAGTGGTGAAATATTGTCAAAAGATGACCTGAAATTTTTCTTCATTGTCAGATTATTCCTTAGGAATGTTTTTTGTTTTTTTCACTAAAGCAGCTAACAAATTAATTGACTAGTGCGAAAAAGGAGGTTGAAGGTAATTTGTTTTACTGAGCTCCGCCTTGTCTGTATAACCTTTTTTTACATTTCTTTTCTTTTTTATTATAAGAATTTTAGAAAAATGGATGAGATTAAAGAACATCAACAATTTTCTCCTTGGAGTGGTCTTCTTCTTTTTTTTTGTTTTTAATTTAGCAAAATAACTAACACTAACAAAACGTTTTGATGAATTATTATTTTTTTTGTTACCATAAAAGGGAATGAAAATTGGGTGTGCCTTCGTGTGTTGTGTTTCTACTTCATATACAGTGTCAATTAAACGCCTTATTAAAGTTACATAAGAACATAGTGGAGTTTTTTTTTTTAATTAGAAATAGCCTTATTTGTAAGCTGGTGGCAAAATTAAAGTTGGAACTTACATCTCCGCTAAGGTAGAAATCAAACTGGTGGCTTATAAAGCCTATCACATCAAGACTGTATTATCAGACAATGCATTTCTATTTCTGTTAGTCACACGGAATTTTCATGATCTGTCTATTCATTTAAATTAAAATAATTAAATAATGTTTCCACATACACTAGGCAGAACTAATTGTGGCGATTAGAACTTGAAGCGTTCCAACAAAGTATACTTAGGCTTCAGCAATAATGTAAACAGACTAAAGCACTAACATTCATATGCACTATTAGTCATTTGGAGTATAACTTTCGGTATGTTTTAACTTACTAGTGGTTAAAGAAAAAGTGCTGAATAATTTTATTCAGTTTGTTGGTGTCTTTCATTGATTGTTGCATGATATCATCGAAAGATTGTGTTAAGTACTTCATAAAAATAATTTTTTTGCTGGTCTGAACACTTGGCAAGATAAGCTGCATCACTGAGTCACTTGATTTATGTAATACTCATAAAGCACAGAAAAACAAACACCAGGTAACACAACCTTCAGAAACTATTATTATATTATTATTCCCATGGGAACCAAGTGGAACGAGTGGTTTCGACACCACATCTCCATCTCACACTATTCTTCTCAGTCTTCTTTAGCTGGCTCAATGACTGCCCATAAGCTTTCATCTGACCCTCACACGATCTTCGCCATGTCACCCCCAGACCGACACCAAACTTATCCTTTCCCACTCCGCTTCCATTTGAGTGTTTGTCTGGCGCATGATGTCACTCAACGGTCTCCTCAGTGTATGTCTATTCCAGCTTCGTTTTCTCGAGATATTTGTTGGTGATTAGGTTTCTGGTTAGTCAGTCGGTTGGTTGATTGGTTAACTGGTAGGTTGGTGAACTTCCTCGTAGACTATTCTCTCTGTTCATCTGATGTTTAGCATGGAGTGATGACAGTAGTTGTTGGGAGTCCTCAGTCTCCTGTTTGAGATGGTTTTAGTAGGTGTCGCGTCAATTCACCGGAGCATATAGAAGCAGACGCTGACTTGGCAATAATGTTGAAAATCGGAATTTCGTTCAATATGTTGAGTGAGGCAGACTTGTACACTGGTTTGTGGCTGAATGAACGTCTGTCTTGGTTTTTATGATCGTGTATGGCTTTGTTGTCGTCCCGCATGCTACTTGTATTTGAAAGGAATCTTCCCACATAAGTAAAAGAAGTGATCTCCTTAAAGATTCTTCCGTTGGTAGTGGTCTGTGTTTCTTGGTGTTTATTAGTTGTCCGTATCACCTCCGTCTTCTATAAATTCACCTGAGGTCTGTATTTGCTACTAGCCTCTTCTACAAACTTGTTGGTTTCGACCTGTAAATCCTCCAATTTTTGTGACACTAGATATAAATCGTCCCCAAAGTCTAGATCTCCTAGTTTACTTACCGGTCATGATCGCGAAAGACAGCGGGGACAGCGATCTTACCATGGATGATCAATCCAATCGCCACGAAAACTTCTAAGCATAGCCTTTTAAAATGTAGGACACTAATAAATGTTGAGGTAGTAGCACAAGAATGAAAACATCTCCTTCTAGTAGTGTGATTATTATTTCAACATCAAGAACGTCGACAAATAGGAAGTAATTTATATCTCACCTTAATTGTTGTCTTGTACTGATAAAAGAATGACGTGGGAACACCATACCGGGACTGGAATTGATTGGCAGTGGTAAAGGATTTCCCAAATACATATCATCTAACCACCATTCCGTAACCTTTATATATGTTTAAAAAAAATTAAAATAAGATAAGGTAACTCAGCATGACACTTGTGAGTTGGCAATTCAATGCAATGTGTAAAGCAAGTGAATACTTTTCGATTATAATGAATTTGGTGAAACACTTTATTTTATAGACGTACGCCACTAAAACAAGCACAACAGCTTAAACAATAGTAGATAACTATTTCTTATTATTTTTGTCATTCGTTATTCCTCTGCTTACCATGGAAGAGAAAATAAATAAGTGAACAGGTGATCTGTTGTAAAGCAATTTACGTGTGTACGTAGGTGTGTGTGTGTGTGTCTGCGTGCTTTTGCGTAACCGAAGAGGAATACGCATAGTTTGCTTATGGGAATAGTTACAGGTGCTGTTAACATTCCCCATCATCACCATTATCAAAATCATTATGTCGGATAGACGACATCTTTTAGGCTCTTCTCTTTTCTTTGTATTTTACTCATAATGAACAACACAAGCAATAAAAACTTAAGTAAAGTATAATAAAATAGAGAGGAAAAAGATGATTAGTAAGAGGTAAAACTGGGTGGAAAATAAAATTGACAGACCATTTAGTCAAGTCATTCTGTAACAACAAGAAGAAAAACGGTTGATAAAGAGAAAACAAAAACTTGATATGATACAGTCTGTTCTTGAATGCTTTATTCTAAGAAATGTGAATTGCCTATATCGTTTATTTTTCATGAAGTGAAAAAGTATTTCCTATGTAGAAATAATTTCATTGGATGAAGGGTGATACAATTTCCCAATAAACTAACTAATACAACTGTCTGCATATACATATGCATTAAAATGGACAGTTTTTAGGCTGATATATTAATAGGTTTTCTGTACACCGGACAAATTACTATTAACTGATGATATTTTGAAATGAGCAAAGTTGTTGAGGGGACAAATTAATTACAGTTGCATTTCAGCAGTTTACAGACAATGTTGAGTTTCTCATTTCGTCAGTGTTTGAAGCAAAATTGCTGCTGGTGATCACACCAACACTGTTGAAATTGTTAAAGGGAATTCTCACTCTTCAGAATGCCTCATTATATATTTTCATTTTAAAATATTAGAAGGTATTTACATGACTGAACTAAAGTCAAATTTCAGTTGTTAATTGAGACGAATAAAAATCTTTTTATCATTTGTTGTTTCACTTGTGGAACTCGTGGAAATTCAGATTCCTCAGGAGATCGTCGAGTGACATATTGAAAACGAGTCAGAGTGACTATATTTATTCTTTCAGTAAAGCAGATTGTCGAGAAATTCTGTGTGAAGAAGGCATATCCTGCCTTTTTTTATGCCCTCGTGTCAGAGATAAAGTTCCAGTTGTATAAACTTCTGTTTTAAATCGACGGTCTACACATGGTTTTTCGGCTTTCATTTGAATCAAAAACAGTATTTCATTGGATAACTGTGTCTACTGTAGCAACTAATGCTGTGGTATTAGATTTAACATGCAGCACAGCTAAAGACTGGTTGGAATACCGCAAAGACGTGTGTTTAAACTATGCGTAACTTTGATGTTACATATGTTAACCAGCATTCAGTTGTCAGCGTACACAAATTTACGGTCAGAAGTCGCAAATATGAGCAACTTTGGAGTGAATGTATGTATGCATTATCTATTTTACTTATAGTGAAAAACTTTGTATACATTGTACGAAATACTAACGTAGGTACTGGAAAAAAGATGTTCTGTTGTCTAGTTCTTGGTGTTAACCGGTTTCTATTAGTCTGTTTTGATATATATATATATATATATATATATATAGTTACTGTGCTACGAGATTTATCGTCACAGATAGTTGGAGATGATCACCAGGAAGCTTTGATCAATGTTGTACTCAGTGTAAAGTTTTTGAAGCGTGGACGTCTAACAGACATACAGATAAGTTCATTTACCTTTTAATATCATTTTTCTGTTTACTCTGTTGACTGTGAATGGTTGCTTTAACTTTGCGTATATACAGTGTTCACATTTATCAAGTAACTCGCTTACAATGGTACTGGTTCGTCAATCTACAGGGTTTTGTATTGACTGAGGAAATTTCTAACACATTACCATGCGCACATTGACTCTTACAAATCTTTATATGAGCAGAAAGCAAATCCAACTACCATTGGATATAATGTAACTGATCCTAACCATCATCTTCATATTATTTATCTTCTGATTATAACATTTCGGTTTTCTATAAGTATGTACTGGGTTACAACCACTAAACCTGATAAAAACATTCCATAAATTCGGTGAACGGAGTCTATGTGAAGTGTGTTATTCTGTGACTGGATTGCACAAAATGGCTGAAGTGGTGTAGGTTCAAATTAAAAATTGGTAGTTATTAAGACTGAATTGGAAGATATTTATTGCAAATAATCTAAGTATAGGACACAATATTTGTCATGTACCTTTAAACCTTAAGTGGAGATCTCATTCATATATTTAAAGTGTTGCATTTAGAATTTAACATACCCAATTAAGTTTCGTTGCAGCATACTCCTTGAGTAGATTTTGTAACTCTTCACCTTCACCACCTGGTTTACCAAATTCATCAACTAACAGCTTTGTTCGCTCAAAATCTTCTTTAGAGACAACCGGTGCTATTAGTCGTAAATATCTATCCAAGGTGTTACGCAAATTCGGAACAGGTAATCTAGGAAGTGGTTTCTAGGTACAGGAAATATACATAAAAAGAGGTGATATAAGCGTGAAAATCTTTGCTACTATATGGAAAAATCAGAAATCAGAACCAAAAGATAATTATTGTAAATAATAATAATATATAGGATTTCATCATGAGCTGACATTGGTTAAAGAACCATTGGAAAGTCTTCAGGGAGTACTGGACGGCTTTTTCGTCCTAATTTGGGACTCTTCATCAGTAAGCACCCACCGACAGGGTCCGAACCCAGGACCTTCTGTTTACAAGGCGAGTTCCTAATATATAGTTTTCATATTATCTATAGGACTCACAAAACATAACAAAATCATGGTTTCTGACCTGTCTACTTGTGAGTAGTGTCAAGTCATGAATTGTTCAGAAAAGACTGGAAACCTTGTTATTTCCTCTTCCATGATGTGGAAGTGAAACGGTTGAACACAGGAAATGGTATCTTATCTAATGGAATTTTTTGGTGAGATTTGGTGAGATGAATTATTAGATGTCGCCTGGTAGGGCGATGAAAGCTTTGCAAATTAACTATCCAGCTTAGAGAACACAACCATATCCAAAAAAGATGAATTATCCAAATACTTCAATTTGCCTATCTCAAGAATGCAATTCATTAGGTTTCTGATGGAATTGTGTAAATAAACGTCTAAACAAATGTGAGTTAAGTTCCGTTCTATTAGGTGGATGATAGCATGGTCACTAGATCACGACTGTATATAGCTGGAGAGGCTCAAAACAGGAGAAATCGTGAATTTAATATCTTTTCTTTTTCAATATACCTTTTTGATGATGTAATTACAAGTCGAAGTCAACATTTGAATATGAGTAAATGGACGATGCAGAACTTAAAAATCACTCATCTCAAGACAGTTGCTTAACCTAAATAATATTGAAACATTCACCGGAGATATAAAATACTTACTTGTTGAAAAAATAACTCCATTTTGGCCTGAAATTATGCACAGATACGTTTTGTCATGCAAAATTATTCATTACCATTTTTGTTAACAAGAGCTTTTCAAATAATAGTGAACCTTAGGAAAATTGCCTAAACTTGTAACATTTAAAACAGATGAATTTGTCAGTTTTGAAGCTGCCATCAGTGTCATTCTATTCTGTGTTTAGAAATACTGACCAACAAGAACAGATTTTTCTTTACTAGGAATAAATAGAGTTTATTTTACCGATTCTTCAAATACACGTTCTGATTAACGGTCTATATTTTCAAAATGAAGCGGGAAAGTTGGAGTAGGTAGGTAGGTAAAGGAGGTTGTTTCTTTCAGGTTCCTCCCATTCATGCTGATTGTCGTCTGTTGCTGTTGTTGCTGTTGGTGTTGGTCAAGAATCTTTATCACCTCTGTTTTCTCTATGTTCACTTGAAGTCCTATCTTTGATGCTTCTTCTGCCAGCTTGTTGCTTTTCACTTGCATATCTTCCAGTTTGTGGGAAATCAGACATATATCTTCGGCGAAGTCCACATCTTCCAAGTCTCTGTTTGTGTGAATCCATTTTATGCATGTTTCCTCATCGCCCGTAGTCTGTCGCATTATCCAGTCTAGTGCAATCAGGAAGATCATTGGCGATAGTAGACAGCCTTGCTTCACTCCCGTCCTCACTTCGAAGGATTCCGTAAGTTTCCCGTTGCGGATTACTTGGCATGCAGCATTGTCGTATAACTTTTGGATGAGATGTATAATTATCGATGGGACCCCGTAGCAGCGAAGTAGTTGCCAGATCACCTCTCGATAGATAAAGTTGTAGTATGACTTAGTCATTCTCTATCCAGTGACTTTCTGAAGTTCCCAATTTCGAAATAACTCCATTAATAATAGCCAACTTTTGACGTAAATGCCGACTGAAGTCAACTTTTTCATTCTCGTTTTTCTCTGGCTGTCAAAAGCTGATGCATTTCAAGCTATCCCTTGGTATATGAAACTATCTTGCGATGTAACGTTTGATATCTAGTTACCGAAAAATTGATTAAGAGTTGACTAGTGCTCGAAGAAGTCTACGCTAAAATGTCTTTTATTTTCCGTGTTATTCTGATTCAGATTTGATGTTTAAGCCCTGAAATGTACTTTTCCTAACTAGATAAGCCAGCATGTTGTGTATTACTTCGATAGTAGTGATCTGTCTTCTTCATCTGTCAACTTCCTACTAAAATCTTGACAAAGTTATTAGTGTGTGATGCGGCAAGATAAAATCCTGACCTGAGACTTTTCAAAGTTAAATTTTATACATTAAACTGTGATTTTTGCACTCGGTATTATATCAAAGATAAAAATAACCGGCAGGCATAAATTTCATTGTGTACAATGTAGAAAATGATGCCCAGCCAAAAAAAGAATAAACATTTAGGAAAAGTCAGAAATTTGACTTACAGATAAATCCCATTCTGGATACTGTTCAATATCAAGATTAGATAGTCTTCTAACGAATTCTTTTATTGGATGGGACATTTAACTGGCTAAAATAAGAAGAATGAAGAAAAGCAAAATGAATGTTTACAAAAATTAAGTCAGTCGATTGTGTACGCACAGTGTCAAAAAATAATAAAATTTATATATTTATCAGCTATTCAGTGTTCAGTGGATGACAGTCTTCGTTCTTTTATTCCTTTACATTCCCAGTGGAACATGGGGCTTAGAGCTAGAGGCTTGAAGTTTCTGTAGCAGTGGTGTTGATTGTTTCCTAGATGGGTTTGCTAGACTCATGCCTAGCCTTCCCTTTTTACCAGTCTTGTCACTGGCCTCAGCGAGGTAAAGGAGTGCGTCGGCCCTGGATTGAACCCCGGACGACGCACAGTGACAGCCTTAACTAATACTTTTATTACTACGACTACTTATCTTCAGATTTTCTCGCATCTTTTCTGATTGGGATAATGTAATGCGCTGTTCTTAATACTTTAGTACATTTTCACTTGCCTGACTGATTCATGTCTGCGCTTGTTAAAATCTACATTACTACTTGTAGTCAGATTTATTCCAGTGTCATTAGAAGTCACAGCTTTTTCCCAATCAAATAAGCATAGAACTATGGATCCACGCAGCATGTCATACGTCTGTTTGTGACATGAGTAGAGTCAAATTTTACGAGGATCGACTGTGCTGAATCTTTATTCACTAACCTGAACCTATCATGTGGGGGGGGGTGGATTAATCACCTTGATAATACAAGTGAAAATATTGTACTACCGATAATGAAGATATCACTATTAGCTATTCTATACCACAAAGATATTGTGCCGCTACCTGTCACTTATAATTTACTAAAGTGAAAATATACCACTTGTCGTAAACCCTTGTACCTATTTTTATGAAATAGGTTGTATGGAGACGATTCTTCACTGATAGGAATCATTAGTCACAGATTGTAGGCGGAAACCCTTAGCTAAAGTCAATTCTACTTGACATGGAGAAGCAACTTCATAAAAGGTTTAAGTAATTCAGTTGGGTTTAGGGACTACATCAGGAGGTCTATAATTGGAACTAACTCATAGCATCAAATACTGGCTTTATGCAAATAAACGTCAGTAAAAACAACACAACACAACACAACATCAGCAACACCAACATCAACAGATCACACCAGATAAAGAAGAAGAAGAATAAGAAGCCACTCATCTTTTATACAGTAGTATATATATATTTATTTATTTAAATTATAATCCTCAAATGAATACAACTCAGACACATACACACGTACATCTTTATTGTTCATAATGAAGTGAAACACAAGGAAATAAAAAGGGATAAATTGACTGCTAATTAATTATCGAGAGCGAAGGAAACCGCTGAAGTTTACTTTCACTTCTTTCATGTGTTCATCACTTTTATATTTGTATAAACAAACATTTAAACATTAAACATTCAAAATTATAAATTAAAAACTTGATAAAATAAAATAAGTGTTCTCCTTTAGAGGCATCTTTAGTTCAAGTGACTTGGTTACATAAAAGTTCGTTTTCAATTATTGAATTATCAGAAGAGAGAAAGAAAGAGAGAGAAAGAAAGCATAAGCAAAAGGACAATGGAATTTTTGACAATTTGACGGAATAAACTTTGAAAGGATATTTGGACGTTCATTAGGCAGTTTGTTTTCTTCTCTTCATGTATTTTATATATATATATGTATAGATAGATCACAGTGTTGTGTTGCACTATTCCTGAACAACTTTCCTCAAAGTGTTCGTAGATCACCGTTGATAAATAGTATAAATATAGGCGTATTTATCATTATTATTATTATTATCATTAAAGTGAAGTAAATTTTAGCAAGACATTGATATATTATTAGTACTGATCACACTTGTTTAAAATAAGTCGCAATTTCATACTTCAATATTGGACATTTAATAGGCATAATCTGATCGTTGAGTTATAAATTTATTGTCTATATCAGTCTTATTTTTATTGGAATTTTCATAACTTGCTGCTGATTGATAATTATATTGATTTTTAGGATTAATGAAATGATGGTTAGCTTCACCTTTAATAGTTGAATATTCTTCATAGCCTGGATAATTTATTGATGAAGTATACTCATCTGGTTGATGTGAATCATCAACAGAGTCATTTTTCAATGTTGGTGTTTCTTGAATTTTTGGTCTTTCAACATTATAACAATTACGAAGTAGATACATAACAGGTACATAGCCTAATGTTATCGCTGTCATGATAATATTAAGCCCAAGAAATTTAATTGTATCCACCAAACTACCAGCAACAATTGGCCCTAATGCATAAGCTAAACTGTAAGAGATATCAGCTATAGCATACACAGATCCATACACTGAAACATGACGTGTATCCACTAGGAAACCCATTGTTGGTAATATTGCTGTATCGACTAGTGCAATTCCATAACATAGTATACTGATAGGAATCATTAATGCAACAAAATTAGTACAGAATGGTATCAAGAAACAACTCCCACCTTCGATTGCTAAACCAACTGCAGCCATTAACCATTGTTTACTTGGATATTTATCAGCCAGTTTAACTGTTGTTACAACTCCAGCTAAATGTGGTAAAAATGCAGGTAACCATACTAAACCTTCTTGAGCATTTGTAGCGTGCATACTGTTTGACATCCATGTTGATATGGTAGGTTCTAAGAAGGCAAGTGAAACATTAGCTACTGTAAGACATCCTGCACAAATAGCAATATATGGATCCATTAACAGTCGATGGATAGGAGTTCCTTTAGGTAAATTTCCTTGAGTTTTTAAAATTGTTCTTTCTATTCTAACTGGCTGCATAATGATCAGTAATAGACAGCCGTCGAAAAGTGCTATGAATGCAAGTGTTATAAATGGTAATTCTTTTCCAAAGTATTGATAAACTATCCCACCAAAAGGAGGAGCAACTAAGGAGCCAAACGATATAAACGCCAGTGCTATTCCCAATGCTTTTGTGCGCTCATATTCATCAGTGTACCGATCGGCTATCATAGCTAAGCCAGCTGTATCTGCAAAAGCTGAACCCATGCCCTGAAGTCCTCTTGCGATAAACATTAAACCATAAGAACTTCCAAATGCAAACACGGATGTTGATAGAAATATAATGCATAAACCAAACATCATAGGGACATCATAGCCTATTCGATCGATAACAGTTCCTGATATTGGATTGCACAATAGTTGTACAATAGCCTTAAATGCAAATAATGTACCGATTTTAGTTTCCGATTGATGTACAAGCCATTTAAGCTTATAATCACCACTTGATGTGTTAAACACAAAGTTATTATCTTTCAGTCTTTCTGTATATGTACCATTGGTCCAGTAGATTTGTTTTGTATCCATTGCACGTAGATTTTGAAGATAATCAGGGATAATTGGTACAATCACCATGTATAGCATATTATCCAATAGTAATGCTATACAGACAACGAAAAGAACCATTCGACGTTGTGAATTCGGTTCATTAATTTTTGACATAAATGTTTCTTTATAAGTCTGGAAATTTGTCATGATTTTTCTGAAAGAGAATAATAACATTAATTATATTAACAAAAAAAAAAGAATACGAAGAATGATCAGGATAATGTTAAACTGACAGTCTTTGTGTAGAACTTTACAGAAACAGATAATGATAGTCTCAATAATTTCATGGTTTGAGTTTCAGCAGGAATACAACCATTCTCTAGGAATGTAGATGCCACGACAGGTGGAATATACTTCCTGGATCCCACTGCTAGCCACCATTATCCAATAGCCTCCTAAGATATTATCTACATTCATCTTCGTTGTTGATGACTAATACCGCTAAGTTGGCGGTTTTTATAAAAGTAACTGGCACCGTTTTACAATCCAGTGCTCAAGACAGCCTCATACTGAAAGACCTGTTTTCCTTTCCATTTTGAAGCTTTGTTGGTTAAAGACTTAAGGCAGAAAGACTGCCTGTTGATGACCTGTTGGCATGTCAGCTTATTGTGGAAAGGTAGGTGGGGGGAGGGGGGGTTCTGTCGTTGAAATTTCACCGGTGAAATATTTGGACAGAGGTAATTTGTATTAAAATTGTGTAGTATTTTGTCGAAATTTTAGGAAACTGTGAACTCCTTGGATAGTAGGTTGGCCTACCCTGACTGACTGTGGTAATCTTTACATGTTGGTTGAGAGTGTTTATGTTCCAGCTGAACTGTCCTGAAGTGCTGCTGTTATAAGATGAAAATAATAATTAGAGGGTGATATTTTCTAAGAAAATGGTTTATTTCTTCTGATAGCTGTTATTCTTTTTGACGTAGTTTCATTTTATGAGGACTTCATTGAATTCACTGGTTACTAGGACTTTTTGCAGCTGTTTAACGCAAAGGGATGGTCACTTTCAGTCGGTGATAATCACACGGTACATAAAAGTAATTAAAAGTATGAAATTTATAATGTAACCGCACGCTGCCTCCTTAATGCTTTCTCTTATTTCTGATAATCACTATATATATATATATATATATATATAGGTCCAGGGAACTTTTTATGGAATCGCCATAGATTGTAGAAAATTAATAAACATTATCTTCGGACACAGTTTCGGACAGTAAAATTTCAATAAAACCATTCACTGTCACTCATAACTATGAACAGTCCTTCTGTTTATTGCTTTCAGAAGATTTTAGGCTTAACAAAGGAGTGTTGATGAACATCTCTGAAAACATTTAAATCAACTTCGAATCCAATGATGAGTAAAGTATTTTTTTTCCTTCACGTTCCCAGTGGAATATAGGGCTCCAAGCTAAAAGCTTGAATTTTCTGTAGCAGTGTTATTTTTTACAGGATGGGGTTGCTAGCCTCATACCTAACCTTTCCGCTTTACCAGCCTGACTGCTGGCTTAGCGAGGTGAAGGAGTGCGTCGGCCGGGGATCGAACACCGGACCATGTGCATGTTCAGTGACCGTCCTAACCGCTGTACCACCGACGACGAGTAAAGTGTAGGTGGTGATTAAAGAATTTGTTCTGACAACTACTAATTTAATAAGAGGTTGTAAGTAACATTCATTCAAATAATGGAGAAGATTTGTAGCTCATGTGAATGATATTGAATTAGTTTTGTTCTCTGAGCTGGTGGATGAAATAATTGCGGAACTTTCATCTTCCATGTAGACGGCATCCCCATTCAGCGCAAGTTTTAGTGTAAAACGAATTTATTTTAATTTCCTAGGAATGATGTAATTGTATCTCCTGGCAACCACCGTTGTGACTGGTTGTTAATTTAAGTCTTTATTAGCCAAACTTTTACTGACTTGGAATTCGAACTTTCTTGTCCTCCTCGAACAAAGTCCAAGAACACAAATCGGCTGTAAAATGACATGATATATATATATATTCTTTCGTATCAATGCATGCGGATAATTATGGACACCAATTTGTTTGGGATAATGTAGAAATTTTGAACAGAGGAAACACCAAAAATACTGCTAGAAAATTCCTAGAAGCCTGGTACTCAGGGGAATCAGCCAGCAATTAACAAACACATTATTATAGATCAAATTTACCAGCTAATAAAAAGTAAATCACAAGACAAGAAACCTCAGATTCCAGCTTAATAAAAAGGATCAATAGAGACGTATATTAGCATCCGGTCACGACAGTGATCGCCAGGAGATACAATTACATTATTCATGAAGAATTCATATAAGTTCATTTTAAACTAAGACCTTCATTGAAGAGGGATGTTGTCTAGAAGGATGACGAAAGCTTCGCAGCTGATTCCTCAACCAGATCAGAGAACACAACTAATTCAGTAACTTCCACTCATTTGATAAATTCTACTGTTTAATGTGTATATTTACTTGCATTATATCGAAAATTAAATAACACGGGTTTCAGTGTGTTATTTTCATTATTTTATTTATTATTAGCATATATTGGAACCTAGTAAAGCTGTATATTAATTACAATTTCTATCACAAACTGACACCAGTTGGAGGATCACTAGAAAACCAGGGATTCGTGGGCAGTTTGTGACACAACTTGGAATTTCACGGTCCACTCTATTTACTTCCAGTAGCTGAATGGTCTAAGAACTCGTCTTGTAACTAGGAGGCCTTTGGTTCGATCCCCAGTGGGTCCATGTTTATTGAAACTCTGATACTAGAACGAAACAGCTATCTACTACTCCCTAATTCTTAAATGGTTCTCCAGATAATGTCAGCTAGTCATCAAAGGCATAACCAATCAAAGCCTTGCAAAGCAACACTCAGTTATTGGTGTCAGTTTTACTGGTAGCTATGCCATGAAAAATTTCCATTTTCCAAAAATTTAGAGTACTTTGAGTTTATCTCTTTGCTTCAGTCATTTGAATAAAAGCATACAGTAAGATAGAATATAGAAGAATAAATTGATCAGTTAACCAGTGAACTTCTATTCTATTCCAATAAACTTTGTAAAAATCCGTCAACCACTGGTTTCAAAAATCAAACTTAAATAGTCTATGGACTAATAATAAAATACTAGTGAAACAGTACTCACAATTTAGTGATAAAATATGGTATATAGTCTCTTAGCCAACTGTAGTTCACCCTTTCTCAAAAAAAAAATAAATAAATTATGTATAGCTAACTTCACAGCACTAAATGGATATCTTACTTAGTATAACCAAAAGAAAAAACAAAAAACAAATGTCACACGTAACTAAGTGCTAATGAAATGTTATTTGTCTTTGCCATTCAAAAGGTTATGGTATTTTCTAAAATTATTGCTTCGTTAGGGTATTCCACAGCTTGCTCCGCCCACGTTTCAATGTTAGAATGTTGTACACGTATATAAAAAATTAAAAATTGGTTCAGATACATAACCGCTAGTTTTACCTGAGTTTCTTTTCTACGTCAATTACAAAGTGTAAACCATGACAAGACAGTATAACGTGTCGGTAGAATATACTAAGACTTGGATGGCATCTTGAATATGTATATATATATATATATATATATATATATATATATATATATATATATATTATATCCTAGCAGAAGAAGCATCAAAGATAGGCCTTCAGGTGAACAGAGAGAAAGCAGACGTAGATGATGAAGATTCCTGGCCAACACCAACAGCAGATGACGATCAGCATAAATGGGGGGAATCTGAAAGAAGCAACCTCCTTTACCTACCCACCTACCTGGGAAGCATCGTCTCAACTACAGGCGGACAGAACCGACGAGGATATTAAAGAAAGGATCGGGAAAGCAAGGCAAGCTTTCATTCCTCTCAAGTCTGTGTGGAGATCAACAGCACTCAGCATGAAAAATAAGATCTGGATTTTCAACTCCAATGTGAAGTCAGTCAGTGCTACTCACTATACGGATCAGAGACTTGGCCAGCGCGTCATAAAGAGCATCTCAAACAAACTACAGACCTCCATTAACAGTGTTCTTCACTCAATACTTCGCTCAAGATCAGATGGCCAGTCAGAAAAGATCAGCAACAGGGATCTCTGGCAATGAGCGAACCAACACAGCAGGAACCGATTGTGAAACAAATAGGCAGGAAGAAATGGAGATGGATTGGCTGGCCATACGCTGAGGAAACCATCAAGTGGCATCACTAGACAAGCCATTACTCGAGTGGAAGCAGAAAGGGAAGCGGCGAGTTGGTCGTCAGTGACAGGGTGGGGTGACTTGGAGGAGGTCATGTGAAGAGGAGATGAAAGCATGTGGGGATACTTGGAGCGGGGTGAAAAAGTTGGCAGAAAACAGAAGGCAATGGAGAGGCGCAGCTGAAGCCCTATGTTCCTCTAGGAATGAAAGGATATATATATATATAAATATATAAATATATATATATATATATATATATATATATATATATATATATAGAGAGAGAGAGAGAGAGAGAGAGAGAGAGAGACAGTCTTCATATGAGGGCAGTTATTTACAAAGAATATATGACGAAGTAGTATGACAGTAAATACTACTAACTAAAATGAGTAGTTGAAAACCGATGATGTCAAGTTGCAGTGCTTACTAGGCACATCGAAGAGTTCTAAACACCCAAAATGAAATGACGACTACATATGTTGCAAACAAGTGGACAGTTCAAAATACTTATGTTAAATTTCATCGGTATTGGAGTAGGAGGAGGCTAAAACCGATGTCTAGAAGCTTATAATTTTTGCTAATCATTAGATTAATGAAAAGTCTCCGGATATTCAATTTACCAGAAATTTGACACAGTCAGAAAAAATATATTACACTACAACGATGGATTACAGAATTTAGTATCATTTATTTGATTAGGAACAGACATCTTAGCATCTTTTCCCCATAGCTTTAAACATTTTAAAATAATCTACTGAAGTCGCTGTTCATTCCATGAGTGACGAATGTGATTACGGGTTAAATGAAAATCTCTGTGACGGCATGGTTCGAAACTGTGGCCTATCAATTACTGGTCAGACAGTGTACCACCTAAGCTACGAAACCCGAATGCTAACTAGTTATCATTTCACTGCAATCGGAATGGGTGATGCCCTCCTGTC